GGTAGTGAACATGAACGAGCTCGTCGAATGATTAATCCAGCATTTTATCATGTTAACCTTAAGTCTATGGTTTCAATTATTACTGATCGTACTGCCAAAGCTATTGAATCAATCATATCGAATGAACAAAAATCGAAATCTGCTGATTTACAAGTTTTATTCAATGCATTGACATTATCTATTATTGCATCAAGTGCATTTGGTACAGATTTTGAAACAAATACTCATGCAAAAGATGTAATCTCTCGAACATTTGCTCAGTTACTTGATATCACGGAATATCGATCGATGTATATGATAAATCAAATACCTTTTCTTTCACGATTACCTTTTTGGGGTAAAAAGATTCTCGATGAAGGAAACCGCAAGGTCGCCGAATTCGTTGATCAAATCATTACTGATCGTCGACAAGGACAATCATCGAGTTTGTCAAATGGTCCTGATCTTCTTGATTTATTACTTTCAGCTGTTGATGATGAAGGAAAATCATTCAATGATCAAGAAATTAAAGAACAATCTCTTGCTTTTGTATTTGCTGGTAGTGAGACAACTGGAAATCTAATGGTATGGATGTTATATGTTTTAATGACAAATGAAAATGTTTTACAAGCATGTCGTGAAGAAGTTGATCGAGTTTTACCAAATGGTATAGAACTTACGAATGAACATTTACAAGATTTACTAGTATGTGAAGCAGTCATCAATGAAACACTTCGTCTTTATCCACCAGTACCATTCTTCCCACGCCACTGTATACGCGAACATATGATTGGTACTGAACATCAAATGCGTATGCCAAAAGATGCAATTATCTTTGTTAATAGCTATGTTCTTCACCGTCGAAGTGATATGTGGCCTCGAGCACTTGAATTTGACTATACTCGATGGATGCGTGATCCTAAAACTGGTCTCAAACCAAAATTACCTCATCCATATGCTTATCTTCCTTTCGCTGCTGGACCACGTAATTGTATTGGACAAAACTTTGCATTATTAGAAGCTAAAATCATGTTAGCTATGTTTATACAACGATGTAATTTCGACTTAGTACCAGGACAAAAGATTGTACCTGAGATTAAAATAACCATGCGACCAAAATATGGATTATGGACTAACATTTGTAAATGTCGAATATGACCCCATATTGCTCTAGGAAAAGGCATAATAACTATCGTCTAATTTCCTATTGCTTTTATTGTTAAGCTATTTGTACAGTTGTTAGAGAACTATATCTTGAGAATAAAATGCTATAAATAGGTTGAATAAACTATATTTGCAAAGATCAACCGTTTCTCACAAAAGGTTCAGGAAAATCTCAGACATGAGAAGCATATAGTCTTTCCAATTCAACAAAATTGTTGTTTGTAGTTATTTATCTTGTTCGTGCTATTTTCACTTAAGTTGAATACGTTGAAACGGCAATACGTTGACCGAATTCGATCACACATTATTTTCGAACATTTTAGGATATTTCGTCTTTCCAGTTATGTCAGAATTGTAATCAGAAGAGAATGTGTGAACTGGTTCTCTTCGACCTGTTCAAAAAAGCTTGTTAGCGCAGCTCCTTTGGGGCTGAAATGTGGAACTCACGTATATTCTTCAGCTTCATTATACTAATATGAAATATAGATAGTATAAAATCACAAATTTTTTAATTTCCTGACAGCCGCACTTATTTTTCGTTTTCTTTGTTGCTATTCGCTCGGTATTTTTCATTTTTCACACTTCTTTTTTCTTTAATTTTACATTTTTATTATAAGCAGCACTGAATTATATGGCGAATGAAACTGTTATATATATATGTATATATACATCCATTATTTTAAACCTGGTCACTAAGGTCTATAATGAGGGGTATGTTTGTAATGGAAGCTTGTCTGTAAGGAGGGGGGGCGCGAAACCTTGAGCTTAAAACTTACACTCACTATTTTCTTCGAAAATATACGTGAGTTTCACAAAAAATTTAGTAGATGGATGAAAATCGGCAAAAACTACCCAGTGTTTTGTATCATCATTTTTTGCGCTAATAGTAAGTCTCAACAAAGCATTTATTTCTTTTTTTACACTTAGCTTTTGATAAATTTCCACGAACAAATCGCATGCCATAGTCGTCATAATGTCTAGGTTTTTCAGAAATAAGTATATGACATATATATATATAGTGCAACAAAAGGAGTGATTTACCTATCGACCGATTACTTCACTCAAAACTTACAGTTTTCTCATCCTACCTTTTCAAGGAAAAGTAAAGTTTCAATTCGAACGCCTATTTAAACTTCAATTTGTTTCTACTAAATAAAATGTAACATAAGTTAAATTAAAGTAACATATTTCCTGATGCCTTTTTAAAATGAACTAACATTCAGATAAAGAAATAAAAGTGCGAACAATAAAGGAAAATAGAACAAATAGCTCTTGAATCAAAACTGTTTGACAACTTTGATAAGAGCAAAGAACCTTGCTCTCAATAAATTTCATAAGAGCGAAATGGTACGTTTGAAAAGTTTCCACGTACCAGTGGAAATCAGCCAATCGGATCTTTTTAACCAAACCGCTTACAATTCTGATTTATTCATGTATTACATTGAGAGCGATAACTGTTCATAGATTTCGTTATATTTTCAACTAAAAATTCTCACTACACATTTTGGAATCTACGAACAAAAAAACAGCTAGCGAAAACGCCATACAAGTAGTTGTTTTTTTTTATCTTTGCCCTCTCTCATCAAACTGCTATCATCGAGAAAGAATGGTATAATTCATATCACCGCGACATCGTCTATGATTGGTGTTTTGCTCTTATTGACTACAAATAGAGTACTACTAGATTATTTGTCAATATGCTTTCATAGTTCGATTATGATACTACTAATTTTGATATATTCATTCGTGCTTTTTATTGTCGCTGCAATTGCAGTTATCTATTTCAAATTAGTATATCCAGCAAAAAAAATATACGATGTATTTCGTGCACAAGGTATTTGTGGAGAACCATTTATACCGTTATTTGGCCAGCTTTCTGAACTCAGAAAACAACGCAACAATGATGCATCCATGATTTATCATGAAGAACTAGTGAAAAAACATGGAAATGTTTACCTATTCGGTCTTGGTCCTCTTACACATCTTGTTGCCAATGAACCAGATTTACTTGCTGATGTATTCAGTAGAAATAAGGCATCTAATTACACGAAAACTGTAGAATTTAGTGGAGTGTTTGTACCGTTAATTGGTTCTCATAATTTATTAGTGGCTGAAGGTAGTGAACATGAACGAGCTCGTCGAATGATTAATCCAGCATTTTATCATGTTAACCTTAAGTCTATGGTTTCAATTATTACTGATCGTACTGCCAAAGCTATTGAATCAATCATATCGAATGAACAAAAATCGAAATCTGCTGATTTACAAGTTTTATTCAATGCATTGACATTATCTATTATTGCATCAAGTGCATTTGGTACAGATTTTGAAACAAATACTCATGCAAAAGATGTAATCTCTCGAACATTTGCTCAGTTACTTGATATCACGGAATATCGATCGATGTATATGATAAATCAAATACCTTTTCTTTCACGATTACCTTTTTGGGGTAAAAAGATTCTCGATGAAGGAAACCGCAAGGT